TGTAATCACTATGTCACCATTCTAGCATAGAAAGGACCTCATTCTAAATGGCTTCAAGCTAATGTTTAAGTTGAACTGAAGTATATACTATTCCTACTATGTATATATATTTTTTAAGAAAAAAATGTTGACACTTTTTAAACAAAAAATAATATCACAACCTCTGATATTATAAAAATAAAATATAGCCAATTGAGTGACTAGCAAAAAAGAACTTTCATCAAAAAAGTGTGAATAATAAGATAAAAAGGAAATGTAATAACATTGCCAACAATATTACCAATAGCAAACTACAATGTAAAGTTAACCTATTTTGTGGAGCCCAATTACTGGCTATAAGCATCGAGGTTTCCATATATATAATTTATTAAAAATAGTATATAATCTTATATAATAAAATTGATTAAATACTAAATAGTAATATTATTGTAAATGAGCAATTACAAAGATGTTAGGGACTAACATGTATGTATTTAAGATTTTAGGACGAATATTTTAATAACCTATTTATGTAAGCACGTCCACTTTGTCACCTATTATATTCACTTTTCTCCTTGCACATTCTCCACCAATTTTGTTGTCACGCTCGGAAAGAAATATAATTCATGTCGGTGAGGTCTTCTCTCCCTCTATCCCTTGATCTCATATTTTTTTAAATTAGTTTCTTTAATTCTTTTTTAATAATTTCTTAGATCCATTTTATGCTTCATTCTTGAAGTGTCTTGTTAGATTCAATTTAAATATACTTTTATTTTAATTATTATTTTCCCTATTTATGGGTTATTTAATCACTAGAATGTTTAGGTCTTTTCACCCATTGAATTAATAGTTTATTTTAGAGAATTTTTAAAAAGATCACTTTTTAAAAATATTAGAAAAATCAAATGTTTTACATAATAATTAACAAAATTGACCTCTTTATTCCACACCATCAAGAGTGTAAAAAAGAGGTCGATTTTGTAAAAAAAAATCCATCTTTAAAATATATGGAATTAATAGTTCCGTGCATTTAGAGAACATTAATTACAAAAGTAATTAAAGTCAGAAAATATACGGACTACCACTCTTGCATATTTTGTAGTTTGAACTAGAAAATACATGAGACTATTGTATATGTCATATATACAATATAATTGCTCAATGCAAGTAAGTTATAATAGCATTTTCCATTTACATTGTTTGGGGTAAGATTTTGATAGGGACCTTGCATCAAAGGATTTTTTTATATTTAAAGTACATGACAAAATATATCATAACCTCCCTATTCTATTTTCGTAAGAAAATAATTCTTCATACGTTTAGTTTTACTTCTATGGTACAGAGAATGAGCTATAAATTTAAATGTGAATATTAGATAATGTAAATAAGAGTAAAACCACAAGTAAAAGTTAATATGAATATGAGTCAAACCACAACTAAAAGTTTAATGGACATATTGCAAGTAAATTCATAATGAGTCAAACCACAACTAAAAGTTTAATGGACATATTGCAAGTAAATTCATATGCAAAATTTCTTTGCAAATTGAATGATCACCCATCTTTTAAAGATGGACATATTGCAAGTAAATTCATATGCAAAATTTCTTTGCAAATTGAATGATCACCCATCTTTTAAAGATTTCAAGATACTAATAAACACAGATATAGTATTAGACCAATGTGTTTATAACTCACAAATAGTAGATCACGTGGCGACAATCTGAGTTGAAGGAAACAATGACAATATTTCATTTGAAAAAGAGATTATTGAGTTGATGATCAATCCAGCAAAAACTTTATTATCTTTTTTTATTCTATTTTTATCAATCCACGTGTATTTCACGTTCAATCCAACTAGTAAAGTAAACAAGGGACTAAATTTCTACGGGGAATAAATTTTAGATATAACGAGGGACAAAATTTCAAAATAACTTTGAGCAAATCTTTTGAGTTTCTTCAATGGTAAATTTCACAAAACACCACTTAGTTGATTTTTAAATTGCATGAACACCCTCTCTAACTTAGTTTATATTGAGATAACTGCTCCAAACTTTTAAAATGTAATTTAATCTATCTTAAGATTAAAAATTTTCAGATAACCACCAACTAACACCGTTTACATTTGACTATGCACGCGAAAATCATGTGTTTCCATATGACCAAAATGTCCCTACTAGAGAAAACTCTTCCATATCCTTTTTAATAATTCTAAAGATAATTCTCACATAAACCCCTTATATTAGTGTTTTAATTACTTTGACTATCGATTAATTTAGTTATTAGAAAATTAATCTAAAACTAGTATTTTGGGCACTATCATTTTATTAACATCATTAGGTGATTAATAGGGAATGATATATATATATATATATATAGGTGAAAACTTGTGTCAACTTAAGGTGCGTATAGGAAATAGTGTCTACGCAACTTTTTATCCAGTGGATTTGCCCCCATTAGGCGATCATTGCCCATGATATGAGAGTATTTTTATATTAATAAATGAGTGGGCTAAAAATTTGCGTGGATAACTAATTCCCTATACCATTAGTTGATAGGAGTCTTGGCTCTATATATATATATATATATATATATATATATATATATATATTATATATATATATATATATATATATATATTATATATATATATGAGAAAAATGATATGCTTGGTATCAGCAGGCAAGTTTGTGTTCGGTAGTGAGTGACACAATATTCTTCACTCATTCAAATGGGAGACCACATTCAATTGCGTTGAGTGTGATTGGGATATGCAACTATTTGAATATGAAGCTGGAAGGGGGATATGATATCTCACTACCAAGCATATTTTTGTGTTTGGTACAGCATACTCCATTTTTCTAATATGATAAAAATGGGATATGCTTGGTACCAGCACAGAATTTATGTGCTTGGTAAGTGGTGTCCATGTTTCATCACTCATTCTAATTCCTAACCATCCCCAATCTCTATGAATGCTGTGTCCTGATTTCAACGAGTGAAGGCAGAATTATTGTCACCCCACTATCAAGCACAAAACATAACTTTGTGGTTTCGGTTACAAAACATACTCATTATATTATTATATATATATATATATACTATATATATATACTATATATATATATATAATATATATATATATATATATATAACGTAATATATATATAATATATATTATATATATATATAGTATATATATATTATATACTTATTATATATACTATACTTATATATATTATATATATATATGAGAAATATGGGTATGCTTTGGTACCAGCCACCAAATTTGTGCTTGGTATGTGATGTGTCACATCCTCATCACTCATTACCCATTGTGAATGTGGTCCCCACATTTGAATGAGTTGGAGCGGGAAGATGTGAACCTCACTACAAGCACAACTTTTTGTGCTTGGTACCAATCCATACCATCATCCTCTATAGTATATTATATATTATATATATATATATAGATTAATAGCAGAGAGAGAGAGAGAAAGACGAGACGGCGTGGGTTACCCCACTTCTTGCTGTACCCTGAGATGCGTTCATAGAGAATCTAGACACCATGCATTAAGAGAGAGGAGATGATCGAGAGACAGAGAGGAGAGAGATGAGAGAAATATGGCGTATGCCCTTTGATACAAGCATAAAATTTGTACTTGGTAGGTTGAGGTGCCACAATTCCTCCACCCATTCAAATGGGGGGACCACATTCACATGAGTTAAGGAGGCATAGGGATATGCTAACCATTTGAGTGACGTGAAGGAAATTATGCCACCTTAATTACCAAGCATAATTTTTTTGCTTGGTACCAGCATATCATTTTTTCTCATATATAATATATATATATATATAATATATATATATATATATATATATATATATATATATATATATATATATATTGCGGACAATTTTAAAAAGTTATGGGAATTTATTCTCAAAAACAGCTAGACTTAAAGAGGATTAAAAGTTAAGGGCGTAATCTCAAAGAGGTCAAAGTCAAAAAGGTCAATGGAACTTTGAAAATTGATTGTAGAAATATATGACCATTGATTATAAAACCCGAGATTAATCTGATTAAGAGCATCTCCAACAGCTTTCCCATTTCCCACTTTTAGAGAATTTAGTTAGGTTTTTGGTCCAACAGATTTTTCATCTCATTCCCCAAAATAGGGATGAAGGAGAAAAAATGGGGAAGCTTTCCCAAATCTGCAGCATTCTCCAAATTTTTTGAGGAAAAAATGGATTCTTTAAAATGAGGAAGCTGTTGGAGTTGGTGTAAAAATAAGTTAGAGAACATGGCTTTTGCTTCCTCATTTTGGAGAAAATTTTGGAGAAGCTGTTGGAGATGGCCTAATAGTACAACACAATTGTGTTCCAAAAGGTATAATGTGGATTTCCTATGAAGCTAATCGGCTTCAGTTCATTTTTTATCATTTAGGCTATGTTCGGAAAATTGCGCAGGGCGTTTTCCTGTCAAACATACCGCCAATTAAATTCATTATGATAATTTTCCGTCAAGCGTATAATGTATAATATTTTTTTTTGCAGTTGGAATCATATTTAATTTGGGCTTCTACGTTTCTTACATAACCTCACTCTCTTTTTATTAGCCCATGACATTAACAAAGTCCACAGAACCGGCCAACTCAGCGAGGGAGGGGGGCAGGGCTAATAAACGCACAGCGAAAAGAGAGAGGGGGGAAAAAACTAACAGTGGCAGAAAACCCCTAACCCATCTGGTCTCCGCAGTGAACCTCAGTAGAGAGAGAGAGAGAGAGAGGGGAAAACCCCCCCTAAAAATCCTCCTTTTTTTTCTCCCTTCTCCCTCCTCGATTCCTTCGTCTGCAACTGCTGGCATTGGATCTCCTCCAAGAGTAGGTTAGGGTTTCGTCCTCGAGGGAATGCAGCCGTCCTTTGATCCGATCC